AACCTCATTTGCACCTGGTCCTGACTTGGATGCAAGATCCCAGACTTGAGGTCTGAGCTGGGTGCTGAGATGACATACTAGGGGATCTTGGAGGGGCCAGAGGGTGGTCTGTCATGGACTGCTTGCATTCCTGACCCCCCATAAAGCTTCTGGCTTGATAGACCGCTTCCACACTGACTCCTGGGCTTGGCCCTGTGGTCTGCTTGGCCCCTGGGACATCAGCACGAGTGATGCGTGCAGAGGCCTGATGGGATTGTAGCCCACTGGGACTAGTCCTCTCGTAGCTCTGTCTTGGAAACCAGCAGCAAAACAGTCTGCTGAATGATCAGGCACCACTTGAAAATAGGCCCTGGAAGATGGGGTTCAACTTGGATATTGGGCCCCAGCTGAGCTGCCGGCTAATGCAGTGGAGTAATCACACAGCTGCACCCACCCAGTCCACAAAACCATGAGTAGGTTTCTGCTGTTTTAAGCCCTTATGTTTGGAGTGATTGCTTATGTAGCAATAGAGAACTGAGGCCCCTGTTCTTTCCCCTCAACCCCTGTCCTCACTTCCTGCCTTCCCAGCTCACATCCCCTGGTCCAAAATTATAATCACTCCTTTGAACCCCACACTCCTACAATACCGTCCTTGCTAATCCCCAACCCTTGGTAGACCAAACTATCTGCCTACTCCACACCTACATCCAAGCCACAAAACTTAGCTAGAGAAAAACACAAAACCATACTCATCCTTTACTTACTTTTTTTATGTTTTATTTATTTCTGAGAGAGAGAGAGAGACAGCCTGAACAGGGGAGGGTCAGCGAGAAAGGGAGATACAGAATCTGAAACAGGCTCCAGGTTCTGAGTTGTCGGCACAGAGCCCAACACGGGGCTCGAACCCACGAACTGTGAGATCATGACCTGAAGTTGGATGCTTAACCCTCTGAGCCACCCAGGCGCCCCTCACTTACTTATTTTTAATGTTTATTTTTGAGAGAGAGAGAGAAGGAGGGCACGAACGGGGAAGGGCAAAGAGAGGAAGACACAGAATCCAAAGCAGGATCCAGGCTCTGAGCTGTCAGCACAGAGTCCGATGCAGTGCCCAAACCCATGAACCGTGAGATCCTGACCTGGGCCAAAGTTGGACACTTCCAACTGAGCCACTCAGGTGGCCCCATCCTTTACTTTAAATTTAAAAAAAAAATTTTTTTTAATGTTTTATTTATTTCTGAGAGAGAGAGAGAGACAGCCTGAACAGGGGAGGGTCAGCGAGAAAGGGAGATACAGAATCTGAAACAGGCTCCAGGTTCTGAGTTGTCGGCACAGAGCCCAACACGGGGCTCGAACCCACGAACCGTGAGATCATGACCTGAGCCGAAGTCGGACGCTTAACTGACTGAGCCACCCAGGCGCCCCTAAAATTTTTTTTAACGTTTATTCATTTTTAAGAGACAGAGAGAGAGACAGTGTGAGCAGGGGGAAGGGCAGAGAGAGGAGACACAGAATCTGAAGCAGGCTGTCTGGGCTTTGAATTGTCAGCACAGAGCCCAATGTGGGACTTGAACTCAAGAACCATGAGCTCATGACCTGAGCTGAAGTTGGACACTCAACCAACTGAGCCACCCATGTGTCCCTACTTTTTAAAATGTTATTTATTTTGAAAGAGAGAGAGGCAGGGGAAGGAGGGCCTCACAAGAGAAGAGACAGTGGGAGAGAATCCCCAAGAAACAGTGTCCCTGATGTAGAGCCCGAAGCAATGAACCTCAAGATCATAATCTGAGCTGAAATCAAGTCGGTCGCCTAACTGACTTCATCACCCTTGAAATTTACCACATGCATCTCCAAGTGAGCTCTGCCCACTGCAAGGACATCTTCCTACACTCTCCTTAGCCAGGTGCTCCCTCATCCTCTGCAAAGACTGTTTCACACCTTGCCATTTTTCCTTGATGCTTCCCAATCTCCACCCACTTCACCCCCTCTTGAAGCTAACAATCTTTTTTTTTTTTTTTTTTTTTATTCAGGGGCTTGGCTGCAAGAGTTAGAAAATATCAAATAACAATAGCTTAAACCATAGAAGTTTTTTTCTCTTTTTTTAAGTTCACACCTTGCCATTTTTCCTTGATGCTTCCCAATCTCCACCCACTTCACCCCCTCTTGAAGCTAACAATCTTTTTTTTTTTTTTTTTTTTTAATCAGGGGCTTGGCTGCAAGAGTTAGAAAATATCAAATAACAATAGCTTAAACCATAGAAGTTTTTTTCTCTTTTTTTAAGTTTATTTATTTTGAGAGAGAGAAAGCACAAGCGGCGAGTAGTGGAGGGGCAGAGAAAGCAGGAGGGAGAGAAAGTAAATCCCAAGCGGACTCTATGCTGTCAGCACAGAGTCCAATGCGGGGCCCAAACTCACAAATCGTGAGATCATGACCTGAGCTGAAATCAAGAGTCAGATGCTCAACCAACAGAGCCGCCCAGGTGCCCCAAGTCTTTCTCTTTTGCATAGAGTTCTGCATAAGCCACCCAGAGTTCTACATCAGTTGCACAGTCTTCAAGTTCCACAATCCTATCTTGTTGCTTTGCTATACTCAACACACGTGTTCTACCTCATGGTCTAAGTTGGTTGCTTGAGCTCCAGTCATGGTGGGTTCATTCCAGGCCATAAGAAAAAAAGGAAATGGCAAAGATAGCCAAACCCCTCCCTTTAAGGACACATTTGGAACTTATACATACTGATTCTTATATTGCATTGGCCAGGAATTAGTCTCAAGACCACAAATATGTATCTGCAGTGGAGACTAGGAAATGCAGTCTTCACTCTGTGGGACTGTATTCCTAGGTAAACATGAGAGGTTCTTTCTAACGAACACGTGGAGGATGGGCAAAGAGAGCTTGCTTACAATCACGATGTTTCCCCAATCCTCTCCTCTTCTGCCCGGCTAAAAAATTTGTTCCTGTATCATATCTTTTATACTTCCTGTCCCCTTGCCCACATGCTGTCTTTGGAAAGGTCTTCCCTCACACACACACACACACACACATACACACACACACACCAGCTAGAGGGACACCACCCCACTTCCAGTCATGTTGGCAGTATAGAAGTTAGTTCTTCAATGTACATGTCTCTTATGATTGTCAGCTCCAGGAGGGAGGGAACTTTGCCTTCCTAGATGAAACTGAGTCCCCAACCTGAACCCTTGAGAGATCTGAGCAGCCTCCCAGCGCCCAAGGGACCGGCATGCCCTTCTAACCCACCCAAATCTGACAGGCAGCCTGGACGTCCCAGTCACACAGCACTCACCCAGTGAGCCTAGCCCCATGGCCTACACTCGTCACCTTCCCCCATAACATTGTCCCCCAACCTGTCCCAACCCTGTCACTGCTGGGCTCTGTCCACCCTCTCCAGTCTGTCCCCCTGGTGAAAACAGAGCACTGTCTGGAGACAACTTAGACCCTATCTTCTGAGGGGCAAGGACCCTGCACTTGTGGCATGAGTAACAACCGCTCCCTGGGGTTGCCCAAGCAACCCAGCCGTCCCTGGACCCTGCCAGAGACAGGCAGGAATGCGGGTGCCCTGGCTGGGGTTGACCAGTGTTGGGATCAGGAGTTGATCAGTGAGTGACTCTGAGCGATGGTTCCAGAAGGGACCAGTTTCATGGCCTGTGACCCGGGCAGTCAGTCACACAGGGCCCCAATCCCAGCCCATTCTGTTGTTCAACAACAATGTGGGGGTTGAACTCACAACCCAGGAACGAGTCACATGCTCTACTGACTGAGCCAGCCAGGCATCCCCATACTGGGTTTGATCCTCTAGTGTCTCCTCCTGGAAGTTCTTAATAACTTTTTTTTAAGTTTGTTTATTTATTTTGAGAGAGAGAAAGAGAGAGAGAACACAAGAAGAGAAGGGGCAGAGAGAGGGAGAGAGAGAATCCCAAGCAGGCTCAGCATTGCCAGCACCGAGCCTGACGCAGGTCTCAATCCCACAAACTGAGATCATGACCTGAGCTGAAATCAATAGTTGGATGCTCAACCGGCTGAGCCACCAGGCACTCCAATAACTTAAAAAAAAAAAAAATTTTTTTTTTATTTATTTCTGAGAGAGAGAGAGCATGAGCAGGGAAGGGTCAGAGAGAGGGAAACACAGAATCTGAAACAGGCTCCAGGCTCTGAGCTGTCAGCACAGAGCCCGACGCGGGGCTCGAACCCACGAACCGTGAGCTCATGACCTGAGCCGAAGTCCGCAGCCCAACAGACTGAGCCACCCAGGCGCCCCTCCAATAACTTTTAACAAGGGGCTCTGCATTTTCAGTTTACATGGGCCCTGACAGCTTGGATTCCAGGGATGCTCACTGACACGATGCCCAAAGACTCGGGTCACCAGCACGGCCCTGAGGGAACTTCCACGCTGACAGGAAAGCCACGCGGATAGCGCCTGTTGCCACACCTCCTGGGTCCCCAAAGGCATGCTGCCCTCTCTGCACCCACAGCAGCTCCCAGGCCCCAGGAGGTGGGGGCATATGGGGCTGGCACTCCAGCAGGCGTGGGGAAGCAAGCGCCAGGGACACACGGCTCTGCCCCGCACAGCAGGCCTTGAGCCCCGGTTTAGGGCCCTACAGCTTACTCCCCAGGAGCACTGTAGCAGCAACTCTGGGGACTGTCCAAGCCGAGATGTACCCGGGCACAAGACCGGGCCTGTGGCTGTGCCCCACCCTCTGGTAAATGGGTGGACTAGGCACCGAGTCAGGCTGATGGGTCAGATTCTGACTCCCGCATGCTGCCCGCTGTCCTGCAGCCCTGAGGTCGGACAGGACCAGCTGAGTGTTGGTGCTCAAGGGAGGCCGTGTGTCCCACAGCTGTGCAGTGGGGACTGCAAGCCCTGGAGGCGCTGCTGCTCATCACCCACCCTGCTCTTCCCGTTACCCCCAACCTTCCAACTCAAACTCCGAGGTTGGCTCCCTGAGGCCCTGGGAGCTGCGTCTCCCCCCGCCCCCCATCCCCTGCCCCTCAGAGGAAACACTTGCCTGGAAGCAAGAGGCAGCTTTATGGAGGGGAAGACGAAGGTTGGGTGAAGATGGGAGATCACAGGGAAAGGGAGACTGTAGCCCTGGGGGCGGGGGCAGCGCTGGGGCGCCCGCCTTCAGAATCACACGTCCAGGTCAGACTGCAGGCTCTGTTTGCTGTAAGTGCGGGTCTGGCGCTGCACGATGCCGGGGCTGAAGGTGGCCCCCAGCGGCCAGTGGCGGACCACGTGCCGGTATGACTTGGCCAAGCAGTCAAAGTAATTGATGTTGAGCTTCCGGGCAATGTGACGGCCCAGGTATTCCATTTGCTGTGGGGATGGGTGCCGGTGAGCCCGGGCCCAGAGGACGTTGGCTCTGGCGCGCCCTCTCCACCAGCTACCAGCACTGAGGCCAGAGCCAGGGACCACGTGGATTCACGCTCTGCCTGGGAAATGCCCCCATCCGAAGACCCTAAGCAGTGGCAGGCCTCCTGTGGAACCGAGGAGGGAAGGGGGGTGTGTTTGGGGCCCCAGGATGGCCTGGGGCGGGACCCACCTCATAGCGCTCGGACAGCTGCACCAGCACCAGCGGCTCCAGCTTGTGGCCGCACAGAACCAGCTGGAAGAAGCACCGCCCGTAGGCTGGAGAGGGGCAAGCGGCTCAGCCCGGAGGTTCTGCCGGATGGGGGCTCTGGTGGGGCGAGAGCTCGGGGTGGGGGTGGGGCAGGGGGCGTGCGTGCGGCTCCGAGGGCCGGGGGGAGGGGAGGGGGCAGTGCGCCGGCTCGCCCGCCCCGCCACAACCCCCAGCGGCTTCCCTTGCACCGGGGGCTCCCCGGCCTCCCCCACCCCGTCCGTGGCCGCGCCGGGCTTCACCGTCGGAGCTGAGCGCCAGGCGCACGTAGACCAGGTGCATAGGGCCCTGACACACGGTGCGGCCCTGGATGGAGAAGTGGTACGTGCCACGCGTGTGGTTCAGCACCAGGCGGCGCCGCGGCAAAGACGAAACCATGAGCCACAGGCCGATGACCACGCCGCACGCAGGGAAGCCCCAGGTCTCCTGCTTCCGCACCTGCGGCAGCCACAGGGCCCTGAGCAGCGCGGGGGCCGGGGCACCGAGAGGGGGTCCTGCCCCCCCGGAGGAAGGCCGCGGGGGCGGCCCCGGGAGCGCAGACCTGGCTCACGAGGCCGAAGCTGACCAGGAAGAGGCAGACGAAGAAGAGCAGCGTCCCCTTCCACAGCGTGTCCAGGTAGTACTCAAGCACGAAGACTGGGGGCAGCGCGGGGGCGGGGCGTGAGCACGGCCTGTCGCCGCGCGCAGCCGCGGGTGGTGGCGCGGGAGCCCCGCCCCCCGCCCGCCGCGCGCAGCCGCTCTGGCGCCAGCGCAGGGCTCGGCCCCGCCCCTTCTGACTCCAGGCCACGCCCCCCCGATCCCGGGGGCAGACCCGCCCCTCCTCCGCCCGCGCCCGCCCTGCCCGCTTCCGGGTCCGCGCGCACCGTCGGGCTGCTGTTGGGTGAACGGGTAGAAGCTGTTGTCCTTAAGGCGCTTGGCCAGGTGCCGCTCGTTGCAGAACAGGCCTAGGGCCCAGAGCTGGAAGCGCTTGCCGCCGGAGGTGGTGGGCAGGCCGCTAACCCGGCCCTTGGGAGTCTGGGGGAGGCACAGAGGGTCAGCTGGGCTGCGAGGGGGCTGGCACCGCCCGGAGCCTCACGGCTGCACTTCTACCTGGGAGAAGAAAGGCTCCAGGGCTGCGGTCCGGAAGGAGCAGCTTTCAGACAAAGAGCAGAGGACAGACACCCGGTGGTGGTGTAGGCCAGGGGAGGCCTGGGTTCTAGAAGTTCTGCACGGCGCATTCTAGAAGGGGCTGTTCTGTTGACTATCCTTTCTGTGGGGGAGTCCTCAGGCCCGGCCCTGGAGTGAGCCTGCACTTCCTGGCCGGTCCCCACACCGCTATCGGCCTCCCTGAGCAGCCCGGCTCACAGTCCTCACCAGAGGGGACGATGGATGTCCCAGGCCTAAGCTGTGGAGGTAGGTATCTGCAGGCAAGCACCTCACACCAAACCCAACGGCTGAGCAGCCCCGCCCCCCAGGGCCACTGTGCCCAGGCAGAGCTTCAAACACAACCAAGGACACAAATGCATTTCAGTGTCCCTGAGGACAGGATGTGCACACTCAGTCCAAGATTCCTGCCCAGCAGTGAGTCAGCAAGGCAGGAACACAGGCAGCCTCAAGAGCCCTGGCAGATCCCCCCCCCCCACCCTCACCACGCAAGCCCTGAATGGTCCCTCAGGCAAGCAATGTCCTTGCAACCCCACCCCAAGGACCACACAGAGTTCCTAAAAACGTTTTATTGTAACAAAACATTCTAACGTCTCAAACTGGAAAAGGGTGGAGCGCGCTGGGGCTGCCTGGGGGTCTGAGGTCTGGAACTGCCTAGCTGGAGGAGGGGAGGCTGGTGAGCAGCTGCTCCAGGCACCACTGGACTTCCTCCTGGCCTCGGTAGGCCCGCTTCAGGCCCCGAGGAAGGCAGCGGCAGGACTCCAGGTTGAGGTACAGCAGGCCTGGGCAGCCGCGGATCACAGAGCTGTGCGGGCAGGCCGTGGGGAGTTGAGCCATTGGCTCCCAAAAGACCCAGGCCCTGGCAGGGCTAGGCCAGGGCAAAGAGCCCTCTCTGCCCATGCACAACTGGCTTTGTCACCCACAGCCACTGAGGCCCAAACCCAGTGCCCTTGGTGTCCCTAAGGCCAACCCCAAGCAGGGGCTTGGCCCCTATTTGCTCCCCTTTTCGACCCCTGAAGCTTCCAAACCAGGCAGGTTTGTCAGGGAGGCAAGCCATATCGATTCCAGGGACTGAGGGAAGGGATGCTGACCTGACTGTGCTCGGTGTGACCCGGGTGCCCCTGAGGTTGAGAGAGCACAAGGCTGGGTGTGAGCCCCCAGGCGTGACTGAGAAGGCGGCCAAGGCCTCCTCCAGGTCCTTCTCGCTGAAGCCCTGGCCACTCAAGTCCAGCTCCCGCAGAGCATGGCACCACTTCCGGGTCAACAAGTAGCTGCCCTCTTTCGCGAGAGTCAGCCGGTCGGACGTGCCGTAAAGACCCAGGTAAAGCTGCTCCAGGTCTGGAAATAAAGAACGAGGCATGAGCTTCGGGGCGGGCAAGGGTATCCACATCCCTCCTGCCCAGGGAAAGCTGACCTTGACATGGCAGATCATGCAGGCCAGCAGGGGTGATGCGGGCACAGCCACGAAGATCCAGCAGGCGCAGCTTAGGGGAGCCGTGGAGCAGGCGGCCCAGGGCTTCGTTGCTTACAAAGCTGCAGGCGGAGCCGGCGAGGCAGAGCTCCTCAAGACTGGGGAAGCCGGGGCCAGGGGCCACCGCTCGCCCGGAAGGCTTGGGCAGCCACACCAAGTTCAGCAGCCGCAGCACCTGGAGCAAGGCCCAGGCTGCAGGTGGGGAGGGAGGGTGGCAGGCGGGAGAAGAGGGGTGTCAGGTACCTGCAGCTGGGGACAGCCTTTCTGCAAGGCCTCGACAGGCAGCTGGAGAGGAGAGCTGTTGCGGCTGATGCCGGTGCTCACCTCCAGGACCTGGAGCCGGGGGCAGCAGCTGCCCTACAGAATGGAAGAGCGCAGGGTCAGCGGCCTGACAGTCCCTGGCTCAGCGTCTCGTTCTCCTCCTACCTGTCCCCAACCTACCAGCAGTGCACCCAAGATGGCTGTCGTCTGGGAGCTGTAAGTCAGCCACAGCTTGCACATTCGGGGCCCTGCCTCCTCCAAGAAGCTCACCACGGCTGTGGAATCCACCTGGGAACCCAGTACATGGGTACGTGTCACCTTGGCCCAGGCTTCTTCAGGACCCCTGGGGACACAGAGCTCACCATGGAGTGCTGTATATCCAGGCTGTGGAGCTGGGGGCAGGCTTTGGCTAGCACGATCAGCGCATTAGGGGTCACACCGTGGCAATCAGAAAGCTTGAGGAAAGTGAGCCGAGGACAGGACTCGCTAACCAGCTGCGGAAGACAGAGCACCAGCAAAGACTGGGGGCGGGCCAGCTGTGGAAGGTAACCAGTGGCTGACACCACACTCTCTCGACGGACTCAACCATGACTTTCCTGCCCATGCCAGGCCAACGTGGGTGCTCCCACCTCTTAACACCTCTCTCCTGAAGGAAACGACGGGAAAAGAGAAGCCGGCAGGTATCCCCATGGGACGACATTGGGCTTCATGTGCCTGGCCCACTCCCTGGAAGTACTGGGCACCCCCAAAGTGTCATGGCTGGTGTGCAGGGCAGCCTGGAGCTCTCACCTTCAACACGGGGTGTACCTGGGACTTCCAGTGGATGAGGGTCAGCCTCTGGAGCTGTGAGAACCTGGGCCGACAGCAGAGGCAGAGCTGCGCAGTGTTCCCACGGTGCCCCTCTGTCAGCATCCTCCCCACCCATCACATTGGTATAGGGAGACAGGAAGGGGCTTGGGGCTTTGGACAAGCCTCAGAGATGAAATGAGGGGATAAAGAAAAGAGGGAACGTCTCACCGATTGGGCATAAGCCACTCCAGAGAAGCGAGAAGCTTCTTCTCGGCCTTGGCTCCGCTCTTGGCGAGGCGGCCAGCCAACGGGGGCGACAGGGTCACGGTGTGCCAGAGTGCTGGCTGGGAGGCGGCTTCGTGCCAGCGGCGGCACACGCGTGCAGCCCTGGGAGAAAGTCTCTGCTGAGGGGCTGGGCCTTTCGTAGCCGCTGCTGTGGGGTTTTCTAAGAGGGGGAACCTATCCCATTTTACTCTCACAACGCTGCAGACACCTCAGCTCAAAGCTAACCGGACCCCGTGGGAGACTGTGCTCTCTCGCCTGCGTGTGTCAGCGCTCAGACGGCTTCGCCCTCGGCCCTCGCCTCGGCCACCCGCGCGGCGGGCAAGAGATCAGCCTGAGCCACCCTGCTGCGCTCGCTGGGCCGGGGGTACCTGCCGAGGAAGGGCACGGGCCCATCAGCCGCCACCAGCAGCCCGAAAATCTGCAGCAGGATTTCCAGGGGGATGCGGTCGCCCCAGCCCGGGTCGGGCCCCTGCTGCGGCTCCGAAACCGGCGCAGCTCTAGGCCTAGCCTTGACCGCCGGGGCGCGGGGCGCTGGCGGCGCTGGCCGCTGAGTGCGGCGGGCTGCACGCCTCTGCACGCGAGTGCGGGCGGGCCCAGGGCCGGGCAGCACCAGGAGCATGCTGTCCGCCTGCAGCAGGTGGTACCCGGAGCCGCTCGGGGCCAGCCGCTCCCACCACCAGTCCTCGGCCGAGCGAGCCCGCGCCCCGGCCGGCTGTGTGCCCCGTACACGGCGCGGGGCCCGCCGCCGAGCCCGCCGCGCCGCCGCGGGAGCCATAGCTCCCCGCCAAACTCCAGGGCCGCCCCAGGGGAGCGGAAGGGGCGGAGCCTGCGGCGGAACAGGGGAGGCCGCGGCGCGGAGGCGGGGCGTGCCCGCGTCCGGCGGGGCCTGAGCCCCGGGCCCACCCCTCCGCGCCGGCGCAGCCCTGACTTGCGAGGCGGGACTTCCGGCGGCGGGCCATGCAGGCTGCCGGCACCCGCGGGTCCCTCCTCTCTGGCGGGGTGAGCAGGAGTTCTCCCTCCGTGCGGGCAGCGTTTCCCAGCTCCGCCGGCTCTGGGCTGAGGCCGCGATCCTGCGCTGGAGGCAGCGCCCTCGTAGCGTGGCCGTCGGGTCGGGGAGCGCGCAAGGGCCGGACCAGGAGACGCAAGTACCCCCGCGCGCCGGCCGGCTCCTCGCCGCCCGCCTGACGCGAAGAGGGGCGGCGCCAGGCCCGCCCCTCCCCGCGGAGCGGGTCCTCATTCCTGCGGCCCCGGGTCTTGCAGAAGCCTCGGGCTCCCCGTTTGGGCGCAGAAGCCGCGGAGGTGTGCGCGGCGCCCGAGGGGTGTCCGTGTGCTGGAGTCCGTGTCCGTTTTGGAGTGAGGGTGGTGGTGGTCTGGGCTACTGAGACCCGAAGATCGGATCCTTCTTTCCTCATCTTCCTCGGGGGCGCCCTGGGTTCGGCTTCCTGCTTCTCTGCCTGCAAACCTAGCCGTGCTGTTTGGTATGTTTGGCCGTCTCCTCCCGCCCCCACGCCCGGGCACCCTCCCGTTTTCCTGCTCTAGGCGGTCTGGTTCTCTTCAGAGTCCAGTTTTGTGTCTCTGATTTGTGATCCCGAATACGGGTCTGCTACTTTCAAGGTAGAAGTCATCAGTTGCCAGAAGAACTGAAGCGTGGTTGTGGTTGGTTTGTTTCGGACCTAGGTGGCGAAAGAGGAGCAGACTGTGACCCTGCCCTGCCCTGCAGAGCCCAGCGTTGGGCCGAATGGCAGCACCCCCGCTGTGCCGTCTGGTGCTGACCCACCTGCTGGTGGCCCTCTTTGGCATGGGCTCTTGGGCTGCCATCAACGGAATCTGGGTGGAGCTGCCTGTCGTAGTAAAAGACCTCCCCGAGGGTGAGTGCGTGTGTGCAGGGAAGTGGGGGGACACACGTCTGAGGTGAGGTGGGTTGCAGCTGCCCTTTGCCCCTGAGCACCTAGCCCCTGACGTGATCTTCCTTCCCTGCAGGTTGGAGCCTCCCCTCCTACCTCTCTGTGCTTGTAGCGCTGGGGAACTTGGGTCTGCTGGTGGTGACCCTGTGGAGGCGGCTGGCTCCCGGGAAGAGCGAGCAGGCCCCCATCCAGGTGGTGCAGGCGCTGAGTGTGGTGGGCATGGCGCTCCTGGCCCCGCTGTGGCACTATGTGACCCCAGTGGCGGGGCAGCTCCACTCTGTGGCCTTCCTAACGCTGGCTTTGGTGCTGGCGCTGTCCTGCTGTGCCTCAAACGTCACTTTCTTGCCCTTCTTGAGCCACCTGCCGCCTCCCTTCTTGCGCTCTTTCTTCCTGGGTCAGGGCCTCAGTGCCCTGCTGCCCTGCGTGCTGGCCCTGGTGCAGGGCGTAGGTCACCTTGAATGTCTGCCGGCTTCCACCAATGCCACCCTCTGGCTCCCGCACGACTTCCCAGAGCGTTTTCCCGCCAGCACCTTTTTCTGGATGCTGACTGCTCTCCTGGTCACTTCAGCTGCCGTCTTCCAGGGCCTGCTGCTGCTATTGCCGTCACTGCCGTCTGTACCCACAGCAGGTCCAGGGTCTGGCCTGCCGGTGAGAGCCCCCGGAGTGGAGGAGGAGCAGGAGGAGGAAGAGGCCCTGCCGCTGCAGGAGTCACCGAGTCAGGCAGCAGGCGCTCCCGCTAGCCCGGACCCCAAGGCCCAGCGGCTGCTCTCCGCGCACAGCGCCTGCCTGCTGGGCCTGCTGGCCGTCACCAGCGCGCTGACCAACGGCGTGCTGCCCGCCGTGCAGAGCTTCTCCTCCTTGCCCTACGGGCGCCTGGCCTACCACCTGGCAGTGGTACTGGGCAGCGCCGCCAACCCCCTCGCCTGCTTCCTGGCCATGGGCGTGCTGTGCAGGTACACGTGGGTGCCCAGGCCGTGTTGGGTGGAGTTCAGGGGTGGGGGCCGGGTCCTGGAGCCAGCCCTGAGTTTCTGCCCCACCCCTGCAGGTCTCTGGCAGGGCTGGGAAGTCTCTCCATGCTGGGCGTGCTCTTTGGGGCCTACCTGGTGGCGTTAGCGATCCTGAGTCCTTGCCCACCCCTGGTGGGCGCCTCTGCAGGGGTGGTCCTTGTGGTAAGTACTCCGGGACACTGAAGCCAAGAGGGTGGCGGTGGGGAGGGGGTCCGCCCCAGAGCGGGGACATCTCACGCTTAGCCCGCTCCCGTGTCCGCCTTCCCAGGTGCTGTCTTGGGTGCTGTGTTTGGGTGTGTTCTCGTACGTGAAGGTGGCCGCCAGCTCCCTGCTGCATGGTGGCGGCCGGCCGGCATTGCTGGCGGCAGGCGTGGCCATCCAGGCGGGCTCCCTGCTCGGTGCTGTCGCCATGTTTCCTCTCACCAGCATCTATCACGTGTTCCGCAGCGGGAAGGACTGCGTGGACCAGTGTGGTCCCTAAGCCTGGGCAGATGGGGACCTGATCTCAGCCTGGGATGCCACGGCGCCCGTGTGCCCATGACCCCAGGAGGGCATCTTCACACACGGGCACTCTCACGGACACCTGCACACTCCACAGCAGACACTGGCCAGGCTGGGGACCACAGAACAGGCCCAGAGCCAGGGCCCAGCCAGAGCTCTGGGCTTGGTCCAGGCCTGGAGCCTGTGTGGGATTCGCACAATAAATCGTCGTTTTGGGGGTTAGAGTAGCGAACTCCTGTGGCACCTTTCTCTGTGCAGACAGACCTCTGGGGAGCTGGAGTGGTGACTTGGACTGTCTGCCAGGGGCTCGCCACCCCCGGCCGGCTGCTTTCCTAGATCCTTGGGTTGTGCCCTCTGAGTCCCAAACTCTTGCCCCCCCCGCCCCATTGCTTTCTGGAAGTGGCGGTCAGAGGCGGCGTGGCACCCACCCAGTACCAGTTCTTCCAGGACCTGCAGTCGTGTGGCGAGCCCTTCCGTCAGGGCTGCTATTGAGCCAGCACGGCTAGGCTGGGGCCGTGCTGGGCCAGCTGCTGGGAGGCTCAGGCAGGACGGGCTGTCCCTTTGTGATCTAGCAATCTAAGTGTCTGTTCCTTTGTGGGAGCACCCTGCCAGGGACTTCTCGCCAGGTGCGGGCGCAGACGGGGTCAGTGAGCAGGGCTTAGAAGAGACTGGGGTATAAGGCTTCAGCCAGCCTTGGGGTCCTTCCAGTCAGAAGTGTTGCTTCCTTCCCTAAGCCACGAGCCTCTAGTTTCTAGCTCCTTGTGTGATCAAACCTGTAACTACCCCAAACTTTTTACTCAGACAGACAAGGCGGCCACCACCTTCTCCCTGGGCTTCTGGTAAACGGCCTCTGTCCCTGAGCAACCGACATCTGCCCCAGCCGTGGGACGGTGGTCTGGGCCCCTGCTTGGCTTGCATCCCCAGGGAGAAGAGCCGTAGCCCTGACCGCAGCCTGTGCCAGGCCGCACGGCTCTCCTGCACAGAGGCCTGCTGGGGCTCAGGAGACGACGTGTGGATGGAAGCTGCGGTGAACAAGGGCTGGGGCCTCTGCCGCCTCCTCTCGGCTTCCTAGGCAGGCAAGAAGCCGAGACCCACAGAGGACGCAGCTCCCCAGGGGAGGCAGGACGTGCGAGCTGTGGTCTCATGTGACTGGTGTGGCACTGAGATCTCATTCTCCCAGACAAGGGGCCCCATTTCCACAGCAGGGAGCCTGTAGCCTCGAGGGTGTCACCCGAATGACCGTAGGGGCTGGGAATAGTGGCTCCTGCCCCTGCTGCCCCAGCGCCTTCCCACGATTGTTCTGGTTTCCGCATGCCCTTTCTAAACTTCAGAAGCTGCCTGTCCTTGACTTGGCCTACACGTGGGCCTTTGAAGTTCTCCTCTTCCTCCCCGCCCTAACAGGACCAGCTGAGCAGGAGGGAGGGACGGACCCCAGGCCCTAACCACTGAGCCTCTGGTCTGGGGCTGCGTCAAGTATCGGGTGTAGCCAGGCCCCCAAGTAGCTCAGACACAGCCCAGCCCTAGCCTCCCAGGATGCTGATGGCCTAGAAAAGGGGTAGCGGCGGGAGGGGTTCACGTGGCTGTTTACCTTTGGGAATGGGGGCTGGCAGGTGGGGTGTGAGCTGCGGAAGCTGCCTTTGGCGGTTGTGAGGAGAGATTCAGAGCGAGGAGCATATGCACACGGGGTGGGGTGGTGGGGGGTGGCCATGGCCTCGGCACACCCTCTCCCCCTACACTCTGCCCTCATCCTCTGTCAGCACCCTCCCCTGCCCACCTTGGGGGCTGGCGCTGGTGGAGGTGCCTCCCAGTTCCATCCTGCCTTGTCTTCCAGGCATCGGTCAGAGGTGTTTGCAAGAGCCTCCTCCCTGCCCACATGTGCATTTGTGCCGGCTGTGCCAGGCCCAAGGGCCACAAAGGAGTAAGGCCCTGGGGGACGTGCATGGTCTCCTGGAGAGAGAGGGCAGGTGACCTTGGGCTGGGGGCCCGGGCTGGAGGTAGACAATTTGAGGAAGCCACTGCCCTTGGAAGCCTTCAAGGGCCTTCCCATTAGTGCCTTGTAGGAAGTAACTAGGGGAGGGAGCTGCCACGCACGCCCTTCCTACTTGAGGCTGCTTGCCAGGGCGCCCGCACCCCCAGCCGGACAGCAGGTAGCCGGCCACTCGGGCTCACAGCCCTGCCCAAAGGCTCTCTCAAACTCAGGGCTGGGGGGAATTTGAAGGAGCCCCCAGAGGGGAAGCGGTGGCCAAGACAGGACCTTTGGCGCCTGGCAGTCCCCAGAGGGCACTCCCTGGGCAAGAGCGAGGCCTGAGCTTCAGGGCCACCGTTTCCTGTCCCATCACCGGCAGCAGGCTCCTCGGTTCTTCAGAACGAGAGAAGGGCCGACCGTGGTGTGGCCTGCCCCATGCAGCCCCCTTTCCCGGGCGAGTGGCCACTGCACCTGAGACCATGCTCAGAATGTCCGGTTGAGCCTCACCTGGCTTTTGTGGAATGAGCAAAGGTAGAGCCTTTGCTGTCCTCAGCCCCGCAGGGTCCCTGGGGAGGTGTGGCAAGACCCGGATAGTAAGGTGCTCGTGTTCTTCCATCAGCGTCTGCTCAGGGCCCCCTGCCTGACTGGGGACGCAGGGTGATCATCTAAGGGGCTTCCTCTCCTCCATGGGATTCAGAGGGGCCTTCTAGGCTTTTGTGGCACCAGAAACTGGGAACGTGGGAGCATCTGGGTCTCCAGAATCAGCTGCTGTGGTCGTGTCCACCCCATCTCGGGTGGACATACCCTGAGACTATAAGCCACTTGGGTGCCCCCTACTCCAAGCACTGGCTTTGTTCTCTCCACTGCACCTTCCAGGGGGTTCTGGTGGGGTGTTCATCACGGGACCGCCTGCCCCCACCCTGTGGTTGGGTGGGTGACCCAGATGGTCCAGTCAGGGTGCCCAGCCTCCTGCCCATGGTGACCGAACTGAGTGCCATCACGCCTGTGGAGCAAGTTAGGGTCTACAGTGACATCTGCCCTAGAATGTCTGTCACGCCAGGAGCTATGGGAGCACCCAGACTATTCAGGGAGCACCTGAGAGCAAAGGCACCTGGAGGCAGCCGGGGAGAGGTGAAGAGAGGAAGAACCCAGACATCCTGGATCCAGTTGCACCTGAGGCCAGACCCTTGGACCTCTAAGTCACGTGGGCCCACGATTTCTTGCTTGTTAAAGCAAAGGGGAGCAGATTGCGGTCTGTCCCAGCCGAGGGCTTCGTGGGAGCCTCCCTCATCCCTCCCTGAAGCATTCAGGACAGCTCCGACCTTCGGACACCCAGCAGTGGTCCGCCTTTCCTTGCCTGGGGGAGAGTCCGTCATTCTGGCCACTCTCCCTGTCACAGCTCCCATGCCTTTTTCCTCTAGTAGACATCCGTCCCCCGCTCCTTAGCAGAGCGCTTCCCTGACCTCTCCTGACGGGCAAGGGAGAGTTCCCTGGGCACCTGACTCTCAGAACACCCGGAGCCAAGCCGAGCCAGGCAGGTGGCAGGTGGGGACTTCCTCAGCTTGACTACCCAGGCTAGTTCCCCAGCCTGCTCCCAGGGAAGGTTTTTGTTTGGTGGTGTTTTGGTTTGTTTGTTTTGGTCTGCAAAAAAGTATGAGCATTTTAACTTGGTGAAAAACAAGCAACGACCAACCTTGAAATTTCCACCCCTTTGCAAGGGCAGTGAGAAAACTAAGCTAGTTCTGAAAGCAGACTGGGAGAGATTTCCTGCCCGGCGCCGCCTGACACCCCCTGAGCCTTCCGAATGTTCCCTCCGAAAAGCCATTCTGTGGGTGGTGCCCGCTGAGAGTGTGGTGTGGCTGCCAGGGGCGGGTGCTTGCTAGTCTCTGGGGGAGGCAGGCCTCCAGCCGGCCTCCCATGCCAGCCTCCAGAAGGCATGAGAACACAGGTCAGGGAAGAGAAGGTGTTCACATCCGGGCCAAACAAAGAATGCAGAGAGGGAAAGAAAGGTCCCCAGAAGCCTTTGCTGCAGTGCAGAGAGGGGAGGGAGATGGTGAGGTGGCTGGCGACCCTCGGGGTGGGCTGAGCTGGTGCTGAGGGGAGTGTGGGGCCAGGAGCCCGGAGCCACTCACCCCCTCCCACTGAGCCCTCCTCAACACGGAGCATGGCGGGGGGAGGGGGAGGGCTTCACCTTTCTCGAGGGTCCACTGTGCTGAGGGTGGACCGCCAGTGTCATGGCACCTGGCTCCAGGACTCTTGACATGAAGAACATCACATCACACATTATTTTTCTGAACGAAGGGTCACCATCCACCTACCACACCAGAGGTCAGCCAAGCTCGCCCATCACTGGGCCTCCCCTCTCCCCGGATGTGCCAGAAGCAGCGGGGCTCTAGGCTGGGTGGGCGGCTGTCTGGCTTCCAGTGCCTGGGAGCTGCCATCAGAGCTGGTGCTGCAGCAAACGGGAGAGTTGAGTGGGGGGTCCGAGGGCCAAGACATTGAGGAACTGAGGCCTGAGGATGTGGCAGGTGGAGATGAGGCACTGGGGTGACAGGAGACGAAGCTTGGGGTCTGGGGAGGTGCTGGGACAGACTGGAGCAGGGTTTGGGGAGAGACTGGGAGTCTGGGAATCAGGTATTTAGGGAACGGGGTCTGGGATGGAAGAAGTTCGGGACGATGAGCAGGGGTGCCGGGGCTCCATTGGTCAAGCGTCAGACACTTGATCTCAGCTCAGGTCTGTGACACTTCATCTCAGGGCTCAGCAGGGCTCCATGCTGGGTGTGAACCCTATTTTTTAAAAAAAATGAGCAGAGTGGAATACTGGTGTCTGAGGAAAGCTATGCTCTGTTTAAAGCAGCCCCAAGGTCCCTGATTTATGAGGTGGGTGTCTCTTGTTTGCAATCCATTTTATAACTTCGTAGATAATTAGTAGCAATATAAATAATTGTTTTCCATAGACTTGAAAACAAATTCTGTCCCCATGGAAGTTCAAGTGATTTCCCTCCTCCAGTTGTGGAAAAAGCCAAGTTTTGTATCCATTTATACATTAACTTCAACATTTCTTTATTCTGTATGGATTTTGAAGTAGTTATAACTTCCTGAATTTCTTTTTTAAAAGGACTTAAGATCTTTAACATGTGTTTATTTTATGTTTATTTTGT